TTAGTTTTCACATTCTTCAGGCTACTTCTAATTTTAGTTCTCTGCTGTTTCTATCCATATTGCTTCTGCAATTATTTCTTGCGATGGAGTCTTGCACTCTCTTCAAAGCTCATCCAATGTAGGGATGGACATCAAGACTTCTTCCAAACTCTTTACTGTTGTTGATGAGTTGACTCTCCCATGAATCATGAATGTTTTTTGGCATGCTCTAATGATGAATTTGTTTCCCAGGAGAGTGAGAGGTTTACATTTGTAAATTTGTAAGCCATTATTAGACATCCGCTGATAGTTTTAAAGCTGGAGAAATAGATGGTAACCGCTGAGGAGTGAATGCACGATCAAAAAATGAGTTGGTGCGGTTGCGGGTGGCTCAGAGCCTGTAAATCCTAGCACTCTGGGAGGCTGAGGCCAGGGATGCCTGGAGGTCAAGGGAGTTCGGAAACCAGCCTGAGCAAGAGTGAGACCCCGTCTCTACTATAAATAGATATATTTGTATTTAATGGTCTTAGACTGAGTTGCTGCAATCTCATGATAAAATGTGAATGCTTGACACATAAAATTAAGCATTGTAAAAAAAAAAAAAAAAAAGTAAATAAGTAAATAAACAAACATGAACAGATGAGGAATTTCTCCTTATAGATAAGCAAGATGGTTTCTCCATATGGAATCTATTCCTGGTGAAAATGCTGTGACCATTGTTGACCTCCTATCAGCAAAAAGATTATGACTCACTGAAGACACATATGATCATTAGCATTTTTTAGCAATGTATTTAATTAAGGTATGTACAATTATTTTTAAATAGACTTCACTCTGTTGTCGGCTAGAGTGCCATGGCATCAGCTTAGCTCATAGCAGCCTCACTCCTGGGCTCAAGCAATCCTCCTGCCTCAGCCTCCTGAGTAGCTGGGACTATAGGCATGCGCCACCATACCGGCTAATTTTCTTTTTTTTTCAAATATATATTTTTAGTTGGCCAATTAATTTCTTTCTTTCTTTCTTTCTTTTTTTTTTTAGTAGAGACGGGGTCCTGCTCTTGTTCAGGCTGGTTTCGAACTCCTGACCTTGAGCGATCCTCCCACTTCGGCTCCCAGAGTGTTAGGATTACAGGTGTGAGCCTTGAGATCCTGGTTACTGGTAGGCCAGTGGCCATGGAAGTTGGAATCTGCTACGGAGTGTGTAACAAACTCACCTGCTGGATCAACTAAAAAAAAAAAAGTGACCTGGTTGCTCAGGTAGAGATGTAGAGTAAACAGTTGGAAATATATGGTTGGAATTCAAAGAAGTTTGAGTTGGAGATGTACATTTGAGAATTATCAGC